ACCATATATCTATCCTTCTTTTAATACTTACTCTCCTTTTCTACAGTACTTTGATAAAATTTACGCGCTCAAGAAACAATTTTGTTATTTGATCAATTTTATTATCTTTCTTATCTAATATATCGATCAATAATCTTAAAAAGTATTTTAAAAAAGTGAAATTGTCAATGTTTTGTTTAATTATTGCATAAATAATGATATTTGCAATTATAGTATATTATTAATAAGCAATATCTATAAATAAATTTAGATTTAATTACATTATATTTAAATCCAACTTCAAATTTTTTATGTAAAAATTCTACGATTTGATATTTGTTGCGTTATAATAAAAAATATGATAATAATTCTTAATTCATGAATAATTCATTTTATATACATAAGTTTATCTATTATTTATGATCAAAAGATCTATGAATATCCAATGCATATAATCCAGGAATATTTATTAGGAAGTTATTAAAAGATATATCAAAAATATTGAAATTATTAAACTTTTACGATTGAATAGAATATAATTTCTATATTCGTTGTTCTAAATTGTAGGAAATATTCCAAACTCTGATTTTCTCGCGATTGGAATTTTAGAACGTAGAATACAAGGTTCTATTAAATGTTAGATCTATTCTATATCTGTGCTGCCACAAATTAGATACATTAAAATTTAATTTCAATTCCAACTATCATCAACGCTGCAATATTACGTACATCCATAGTTTTTAACTTCAAATTAGAATATGAATTGTGCTATAGACGCTATCATCGCATAATTTACTTTCATTGTTTCGAATCAAAAACATGTCAAGTTTATATCAATTTTGTTAAAAACATTAATTCGAATTGACGGTATAAACAAAATTTCTCTTAATTTTCCTTAATTTAAAATTATTATCATCGAAATAAAATTATCAAATTTTACCTATTTTATTCAAAGCATAGAATTTCACTTAAAAAAAAAAAGAAAAAAAAGAAAAAGAAAAACAATATTGAAGTAAAAATTTTTAGCAGCTCCCGTATACGATATATGGATCAAACAAGTTTATCATTAATCTTCGAGGAAAATCATATTATTCACCGTCAAAGAACCAAGTTTTACCTCGAACGATCGATCAAACGGAAGTTTACGAACGTTTAAAAACGCACTAAGGAAATTCATATCGGGC